ACCTGAAAAAACAAAAAATTGGACGTCTTAATCGTGATTGGTTTTAACACTTCACATTCGACTATAAAATTAATAATGAATGACAAGAGCAGCTGCCCAGAAAGAAGTATCCTCGACCGCATTTTTTGCCCCATAATTGATATATATGACTGGGGCTAACTTCCGAAGTTTTCCAAAGTCTCCAATGACTGGCTGAATAAATAAACGATCCCTTTTCGACATATCAGTTCCAAAGTGCGTTCCAGCCTTTGCAAGTCTGGTACTCTGTGAAGACCTTTTGTTTAAAGAATGAAAACATTTCCTGAAAAATCAGTATCCTAAACATCCACATGACTGACTTTTTTCTTTTTAAGAAAGGCTAAACATAGTTAGCGGCTCATAATCACAACAATAGTCTTTTCGTTAGACGTCTATTCAAAAGATAATTCGTTCTTCAAAAATATTGATTGATCGGGCTGTAAATATAATGGACGGCTTCTAACGAAAACTATTCCTAATATCTAAATGAGGAGCATGCCTTTCTGCTAAGGAGGAAACCCAAAATTCTATTTACTGCTCAACTGCAAAATATGTCTGTGTTATATCACACGAAAAGTTCCGTTTCATACAGTAGAGACAAAGATGAGGATCTTCAAAGAAGTCAGCTTCACTCAGTCTCTAAGGATTTCCTAATCAGTTTTGAACCTTGCATATTATGTCTTCTTTCCTGAAAGGGAAGATTTACAACTGAATATAAGAAAAAGAGTAAATTAATTGTTAAGTTATTTAATATGTTACATCCTGGAATTTTTTCTGTTATGACAGGTTTATTTGCTGTGAACTATAGATATTGTAGCGCAGCTCGCTTTGAAATTAAGACTCCCTCTTCTTTTTGTCTCGTTGGTCTTTTTTTTAACAATATTAGAAGACATTGAGAACTATATGGGATACACAACACAAATCCTTTTTTTTACCGAAACCAGCTTCCTTTCTTTGCTCCATAAAATGAATTAAATGAGGGTGGGCGTGTGAGAAGACTAACGAATTTGTATTTTGTGTCTTAAGACTTTTGGCTTTTCCAAATCGTCCTAATTTAATAAAATGCGTTCCAAAGTCTCCTTGTACACTCTGTGGAGAGGTTACTGAACAAGTAAAATAGCAAATCCGTGAGTCTTCCTGACTTCCTACAACGTTGGTGGTTTTATATATTTGATTCTTGGTTCCTTCTAACATGTCATACAAAGTTGCCAATCTGAGGTTCATTTCTTCGGTTTCTTAATTGAAAACTTGGCTCATTACACTCTTACCTACCTCAAAGTGACATTATCGCCAATCTGCATGAAAGGAGCCCATTTCTTCTCTTCGGGAAAGCCATTATCTCTCATCCACTTTCGGACCTCGTGAAGAGATTCGCTGGCACTTTCAACACCAAACAAGTGTTCGTAGAAATGATTCATGAACTGCTCTGTCGATTCGTCGTCCAGGGCCCACTGTGCCACTAACACCGAGCGAGCACCGGATCCTAAGAACGCTCGAGCGATTCCAATGACTCCTTCGACTTTAATTTCTCCGCGTCCACTGTGACAACAGCTTAAAACAACCAGTTTAGCTCGAAGTTGAACTTTTGATACGTCAGCCATCGTCAGAAGGTATTCTTCTCTTTGGAATATCATTAGTAGTACGAACAGGGCAAAGTGCGATTTCTCCTCTCTCGGGATCTCCATGAGCAGCAAAATGTATCAGCTCAACTGACTTGATCTGTTCAATAACCGCCTTCTTTGTTGCATGTTTCCCTAACAATGGAGAAACGCCAAGCATTTTTCCAATCATCTCAGCTTCTTTTCTTGCACCTGGTAATGGCTTGAGGATAATCGGTTGTCCATTGTAAATCACTTTGCTCACCTCAGGTTCACCCACTATGAGAGCCCCACTCTGACTGTGCTAGTTTGGAGGACTGTCCTTAATAAGCTTGAGGGTCATCAAAGAAGGAACGATACGGATTCTGAACTTTTCAAACAAATATCCTCCTTCTTCGTCAAGCAAGGCTGCGAATGGTACTTGGTACATGCAGCTGTCAGGGACGATAATAACTTCAGGCTCCTTCAATAAATCGGCCACGGGAGTGACGATTGTTTCGTAGCACCAACGAAGCTCTTTTTCCATATCATCAGCTTTCTTGTGTGCCAAAGGCGATCGGTTGATATCGTCAGATGATCTTAGAAGACGTTCGTCATTTAAAGAGCGATCTTCGCAAACATCTCCGGGTAGAATGGCAAAGTGGCGGAAACTCTCCGAAAAAAGCGCTTTCAGGTTAGGAACTGACCCGGAATTTCCAAAATTATCCGAATCTATTGTCTGCGGTCTGCGGAAATGAATATCTCCGCTTGTTTTGAGAATCCAAATCCGTACATCTTCATCATGAATTGAAAGGTAAAGACAGTTACAACTGGCTTCCTTTCTAATGATATCCTGGATGTCACACCATGATTGGAGATCGCCTGAGAACTGGGGCCGCATAATAGAATATTGAGCAGCCATTAAGTCCGCCAGAGCTCTTGCCCGTCTGAGTTCTTCGACGTAAAGAGCATATTTAGAATCCCCAGTGTCAGAAAGCATTTTACTGAGCATCTCATAAGGAAAAACACCATGCTTTTCCAAAAAAGATATTTTGAAGCAATCGTTTGCTTAATGAAGTCTCGCAGTTTTTCGTATTTTTTAATACACTGATAAAGATACCTGAACGCTTCTTTATGATTAAACAGAGCCAGCTTCAAAACTATGAGGTCGCAAAATATTTGAAACTCGTTCATATTGTCTCCTAAGCTTGCATAATCGCGTGCTTCTCCCTCTCTGTCGCCAATTTCCTTTCTGATTGCAAGTGCTTTCTCGATGAATTCTTTAGCCTTTGCGCACTCACCTAGAGAATGAAACACTGTTCCTAAGTTTGCGTAGTCAGTTTCTTCTCCCGCTCTGTCGCCAATTTCCTTTCTGATTGCAAGTGCTTTCTCGATAAATTCTTTAGCCTTTGCGCACTCACCTAGAGAATGAAACACTGTTCCTAAGTTTCCGTAGTCAGTTGCTTCTCCCGCTCTGTCGCCAATTTCCTTTCTGATTGCAAGTGCTTTCTCGATAAATTCTTGAGCCGTTTTATATTCACTTGGCAAATGGAACAATGTTCCTAAGCCTCCGTAGTGAGCTGCTTCTCCCTTTCTGTCACCAATCTCCTTACTGATTGCAAGTGCTTTCTTTGCGTATTCTTGAGCCTTTTCGTTTTCACCGCGCGACTTAAACAATGTTCCTAAGTTTCCGTAGTCAGCTGCTTCTCCATATCTGTCGTCAATTTCCTTTCTGATTGCAAGTTCTTTCTCGGTATATATTTTAGCCTTTTCGTATTCTCCTAGAGAGTGAAAAAATTGTCCTAAGTTTCCGTAGTCAGCTGCTTCTCCCTTTCTATTGCCAATTTTCTGTTGGATTGCTAGTGCTTTCTCCACGTATACTTTAGGCTTTTTTAATTCACCTAGCGAATGAAGCAATGCTCCTAAGTTTCCGAAGTTAACTGCTTCTCCTTCTTTGTCGCCGATTTCCTTCATCATATTAAGCGCTCTCTCGAAGTATTCTTTAGCCTTCTTGTATTCACTTTGCAACTTAGTAATATTCCTAAGTTTCCGTTGGCAGTAGCTTCTCCATTTCTGTCGCCAATTTCTTTACCGATTGCAAGTGCTCTCTCGGTGTACTCTTCAGCCTTTTTATATTGAGCTAGTGACTGAAACAATGTTCCTAGGTTTCCGTAGTCACTTGCTTCTCCCTTTCTGTCACTAATCTCCTTTCTAATCGCAAGTGCCCTCTCAGTGTACCCTTTAGCCTTTTTAAATCGCCCTAACGACTGAAACAATGTTCCTAGCTTGCCGTAGTCAGATGCTTCTCCCCTTCTGTCGCCAATTGCCTTTCTGATGAAAAGTGCTTTCTCGGTGTATTCTTTGGCCCTTTCGTATTCACCCTGCGATTGAAACAAAACTCCTAGGTTTCCATAGACAGCTGCCTCTCCCTTTATGTCACCAATTTCCTTGCTGATTGAAAGAGCTTTCTCGGCATATCTTTGAGCCTTTTTGTATTTACGTAAGGAATGAAACAGTGTGCCAAGGTTTCTATAATCAGTTGCTACTCCATGTACATCACTAATTTCCTTTCTTATTTCAAGTG